CCGCATTTCAGCGAATCATCATAGCGAATTAAAACAAAACTGACTATTCCACCGGTTCTGAACCTGTGGGCCATGGCCCATTTTCAGGTGGCCCACAAACCCATTAAAAATTGCTAGAATTATTGATAAATTAGTTAAAATTTGATTGTAGTAGGAATGGTGATGCTGAATGATGTTGTTTTTGTTACTGAGTGGTAACTCTCATTACTTATCGATTTTAATCGGTAAGTATGTTGATAGGTATTTGTCTGTTTGTCTGTCTGTCTGTTAGATGCACGCGATATCTAACGAAAGCGAAATTGAATCTGCTCCTGATTTTGCATGTGCATTCATCATATGTCGGACCAGAAGCCTATTGATTTTGGAAGAATTATGTCGTACAATTAGCGAGTTATTAATTAATTAGTAATGGGACACAAGGTGTCACTATGAGTAAGAGCGCTGTTTTGGGGGATCCTCTAACTTTCGATTGACAAGTCTTCGGTCTCTGACCGATATTCTCGTTTTAATCATTATTAAAGTGGTAGTGTTTATCTTTTTGTTCCTTGACAAAGTTAATGGGGACACAGGATTCTATTCATGACTCTATAGTGACACCACGTGTCCCATCAATAATTAAATTATAACTCGCTAATCATACGACATCATTCATCCAAAATCAATAGGCTTCTGGTCCGAGATATGATGAATGCACATGCAAAATTTGGAACAGATTCAACCACGCCTTCGTGAGATATCGCGTGCATCTAACAGACAGACAGACGGACAGACAAATACCTATCAACAGACTTACCGATCTAAAGATCGATAAGTAACAATGGTATCAGTTGATGCTCATCTAAAGTGGGGTTACCATATCTGGAAAGACAAAATCCCCGACAACATTTTAATAAGCCACATTGACCAATTTTGCAATCAAAACACTTATACTGTACAGTATTATGGTATAAATTCATGATGTATCCAAAAGCACAAGCTTTCGCCACTTTCTCATGAGAATAGAATAAATACAGAACAAAACGAAAGGAGCAAAATTGTTGCCTAATCTTTTGAACTAGTGAATAAACCCTAGCACGGAATAAAGTACAGGTAAATGTAGTGCAACCAAAATACCGATTACAAAATGCTGGCAATTCAGGTCATATGTGACATCCCATTTTATCTGAATGCGACGCAATCCTTGTTGCACAAAAATGCTAGAATGTGACACATCTTTGAAAAAAATAGGATTTCATGGATGGGCAGTATCTGGAAACTCGAGGATTTGTAGCAGGAATTCACTGTATTCGAAAATCCCTGACATTTGGGCACTTATTAACATTTCTCCCTGATGCAAATTTGACCACTGAAATCCCGGACATCTCAGGGAACATTAGGCGTATGGTAACCCTAATCTGGAGCCTTCTTTAAAGTAAAAAGTGAGAATACACACTGAAAATAATTGGGATGAGCCAAAACACTGAAAAAAGCAACAATCATTTTCATTTCCTGAACATGACATGACTCAAGTATCGCTTCAATTGTAAAACTAAATTGCTTCTTGATTCATCATCTCAACATTGATATTTCCAGATATCCAATAACTTTCAAAATTTGCTTAAACTATAGCTCATTCCTTTCACATTCCTATTTTTAGGTGTGTGATCATGTATCACAAAATTTAGGTGAAATAAAAACCTAAACTCTATTTGATATTAAAAAAATGACTATTCAAATTAAAATTCAGAAGACCCTTTCAAGGGTCATGTTTTGAATTAAACTTCTAGTACATCAGATCCATTTTAAATATTATCTAAGGTTTTGTTCACTCTCCTGATTTTGTAATAAAGTTTTATTAGTTTTATTTTAAAATCGATTTAGCGCCAGTTATGCAGATCATAATATAGTTGTGTTCCCACCTCTGAATCTGTTATTAAACTATTTTAAATCGTTTATTTTAAAATTAATTTATATTATTATTATACAAAGTCGATAAAGGAGTACAAAGGAATTTTTATACTCTCAGTATTGGCCATCTCTGCTGCTCATACACTATATAAGAGAAAAGATACTGATAAACAATACAATGCACAATACTGTCTTTAGAAGAATGACCTTGTATGACCTTGCTTTGGGCATATTTTTCTGAAAAATATAATCAGTGTCCTTGTGGTTGCCTGTAACTTCGCACAAAGATAGGTCAGTCCCCGACTCGTAATAGAACTACCGATAAAATAAGGAGAATCGGATAAAATTATGATCTAACCCTAACCTGGTACATATACTACGAGAGTGCCGTGCACATCGTCATGCTTTGAGCAAGTTTCGCTAAACTCAGTTTCTATTTCTGCTAATAATACAGGGTTGTCACTAGAAATGCAGAAAATTTGAAAGTCAGATGAGATCACGAATAAAACGCTACACGAGCTTGGACTTCTAGTCTAAAACACTGCTCTGAAGTGCACTGACGACATTTTGAGAATCTATCTATAACATATGCCTTAAAAAATCTTTGTACAAGTTATTCTTTGTAAAATAAACAGCTGTTTGACAAATTCTCTGCTTTTCTGGCAACCACCCTGTACAGTGCATGAGTGGCAGATAAGATAATGATAAACAATACACAATGCTCAATGCTGTCTGTTATTGAATAGTGAATGATAATCATTGATACACGATCTATATAATTCATGACATAACAAAGTCAGACTGGCGTAATGCCATCTAACCAGACGCCTTATACAAAAAGATACTGTCTGGAAGTAATAAATCCATTAATTAATAATTATGCCAAATAAGTTTAATGATAAGTTCAATAACAAGACAGATGAGTATGCCAAATATGCTTACTGTAATAATGAGTTTAATAATGAGTTCAATAACAAGACGCTAAAGAGAGAAAAATAGTGTTCAGCAGTTTATTTTCCCACTATTCCAAATCTGCTTACTGTATACCAGGAGCGTACCTAAGTGGGTGCGGGTAGGAACCCCACTCTTTTATATTGTAAAAAAGGCATTTCTCTGTATCTAACATAGAAAAGTTTCGTAGCTTGAAACACTTTTTAGGTCATCAGGCTGGACCTGCTAGCTGTTGCTGTCTAACCTGGCAACTACAAACTTCAGAATACCCTTGAAAAGTCTAGGTTACGCCCGTGCTCTACACACAGAGTGTGAAAATCAAATCAAGAAAAGGAAGGCGAAGGAGGGACGATAAATCTTAAAGCGATAAATCTTAAAGCGATACCCTTAATAAAGCTTAACGTTAACAGTAATTAATACAAAGGCAAAAGAATAAAATTTAAATGACATATATAGAAAACTGTTACGAAGAACTATGTTGAAGTGACTGACTTGAATTGTATGAAATTAAAAACTAGTATTTATTTGCTTTTATAATGTCTGAATGAAAATTTAGAAGATAAAATATGACTATTATGGTTTCACTGTTACTAATATGACTGTGTATAGTTACATTCAACACTCCAGACTTCGAATTTTGACAGATTTGTCTAGAAGCAAAAAATTGATCAGAATGCATTTTGCCAAATACCTTTAATAATGAATTGTGTAGATGGTAAATATGGAAATTATGTATATAATTTTTTGATTTTATGACTATTTTAAAAAAAATCATGAAGGGAAAATTCCACAATTGTACAAATAGGCCTAGTCTGTGTATAACAGTTTTACTAAATGAGCCTATTTTTAGTACCTAGCTTCCATAAGTGCAAGCTTATACAACCAAAGGGTACAAATGCTTAAGCAATAGTTTCCAAATTGAGGCCTCCAGAAGTATGCGCACCAAGATGGCGCACAACCTGAACATAGTAGGTGTGTACCGGTTGGGATTCAGGTTGTGCGACATCTTGTTCCCTACAGCCACGATTAGGAAAAAGAAGTAAAAGAAGTTGTATAAGCGTTGTATAAAAATACTGTGAAATGCAGAACCTGATATCAATCATTTTAGACCAAGGATTGCGCAACTTGCGGACCGCCGACCAAACGCGACCCAGAAGGAAAAATTGTGCAGTCCGCAAAACGAGTTTTTAATTTAGTTTAATCTGGTACGTGCGGGTGATTCAAATCTCTGTGTCGCAAAGCCTATACAGGGAGTTCTCGGGTTACGACGATCGCGACTTACGCTGTTTCGAGGTTACGAAAGCGCACTCCATAACGCTGTTTCGAGGTTACGAACGCATTCTATGAAAAATGAAAAAGATAACACTGTACTGTACAGTATTTTATTTTATTCAGGTGATATAGACCTGTTTTCTGTTTTTTTAATAAAGTACTTTTTCGCATTATTTGTACATTTTATTAGTGTACAGTATCATACTTTACAATACAGTACGATATGTATATAGTAATTGATGTACTGTACAGTATAATGTTCCAAGTTATACTGAAATTCGGGTTACACCGCGTCTCGAGAACGGAACAACGTCGTAAGTCGGGGACTCCCTGTACCTAAATCCAATTTATTATCTAATTTATTATGCATATGACGTTACAATGCTAGCTTGTGCGAAGCAAACAATGCATGTCATAAGATCAATAGTCAAAATTTTTAACTATTAGAAAGTCTAAGCTAAATAAAGATGCGGCCCATCGTTACACCCAATTATTCGTATCTGGCCCTCTTGAATTAAAGGTCGCACGTCCCTGTTTCAAACCACAGAAACTCAAAATTTCCTAATAAATGTTAGATTATTCGATGACCGTACATTCGAACCCACGTATATTTGAACCCATACATTTGCATCCGTATATCCCTGGGTTCAATCTATATGCGGGTGCCAAAACCCATGGGTTAGGGTTAGTATGGGTTCAAATATCCGTGAAACAACAAATTTCCATAGGTGCAATAGTATGCAGGTGCAATTGTCGTGAATTCAAATCACGGGTTCAAATGTAATGTAACCGATTATTCGATTTAGCAAAATTAACAGTAACACATCAAGACCTGTTTCTGGTTTTCATAAAATTATCAACTTCTTCACTAAAAAATCATGATTACTCACTTTCTTTTTATCTGATTCTCCTATTGACCTTTGTCTTAACTTGATCGGACCATCAGCAAAAATATTTCCTAATCCGACACCTTTCACCTGCAGAAGTGAGAAAAACATTTCAAAATTAGAAATATGAAATCAAGAACAAGAATTTTAAGTCACCGAAACATTACCAAAGTTAATTTGACCGGGGGTCCCAAATTAGTTGGAAGATATTCGCGGGCCGGCAGAGGGGAGCGCCCGCACGGGGCCGATGCTGGTACGGTACATGTAATTAAGATACTGGTATACTTGAATTGTTAGGAATATTTAAACTGTGATAATGATGTAACAATTGGCGGTATCTTAAACGCAAAATAGTAAAACATGAAGTACAGTATCAAACTATTTCACTTGAGTTCGGCGGGCCATATTAAATTGTTACGTGGGCCTAATTGGCCGCAGTTTGGAAGCACTGGTCTAAATGAACTTAGGATGAAATGCCACTCTTCTATGTAGCTTTTTAATGAAATCTTTCCAGTCAGTTCCCCCCAAATCAAAGGAATAGGAAGTGTTGAGGTAATAAAAATTGGGTAGCAAGTGGGGACAGAAACATTTTGTTTTTATCTAAACTTAGTAGCCATAATAAACCAGTTTTCATGTGAACAATCTACGGCGAAAATGAGAACAGCAATTCTCACACATAATTATCTGCCACAATAGTAGCATGGACATGGACAAAGTAACAAGAAGTGCACAATACACCAGTCAGTATCACATGCCAAAAGTACACAATGGACAAACGTAATTGAAATAAAAAAATGCATTTCAGTGTGAAGGGAGACATGATAAACTAGTGATAGTTATCGAGCAGCATGGTCACCTATGAGGGAGTCTAACATTAAATAATACTGAGGAAAAAGTCAAACATAAATTACTAACAAAAGTAAGGCTTTGAGACACATTTAAGCGACCCAATATCCCGGGGTCACTCTAGTTAATAGAAGAAAAGGACTCCAGCCACCACAGGCCGGGGGTAAACATGGTAACCGCAGTTGATTGAGAAACCGTCAAGTCAAATTATTATTATCAAACCTTTTTCTGTGATGACGTTGCAAAATCTTCTGAAGGCTTCGGTTCTGGTTCTTCCACTTTTTCATTGATTCCTCCGTCCCCACTTTCTTCCGATTCAGAACTTCCTTCTATCATTTCACCAAAATTTGTGGGAAAAACTCCTTTCTTACCACGATTAACTCCCTCTGCCCAGCCTTCCTCCACCTGATATAGAAAAATAAAATTGTGAAATATGTACCAGGATGAAAGAATTATTGTATAGGCTAGTAGTGCAAATACTCCTTTAAACAGTAGTTCTCAATCTTTACTGACCGCGAACCACTTTACTTTTTTTTTTTATCTGCGTACCACCGACAAAGCCCCCTTTTGGGGGTGGGGTACAATGGCACAAAGAGGTATGGCGCTATGGGAGTGTTTTATATTATGCCGCAACATCCTTTGTGACGTAACATGCAAAACAGATGAGGTTGATCTCTAAAACAACGCGTTATAAACGCTGTTCAGCGAATACATACAGTGTGGAAAACAAAGAAAAAGTGCTGCCTGCATTTTCAAGCCAACTCAAAAGTTACCGTAAATATTGCAATAATTCAAGGCGTAGTTCACGTACCACTTGAAAAGCTCCCAATGTGGTACACGTACCACAGGTTGGGAACCACCGACCCAAAAAGAGCAAAGAATCATATTTCATACCCATGAGTCTGTAATCCAGTTGCCAATTTCAGGGCAACAGACCCAGGGCTCTGTGAAAGAAACCTAGGAGCTCCGCGAGCTATTCGTTTACTCATTTAAATACTGAATATTTTTTAAATACGAAGCAGCAAAATACATCGAGTCATTAAAAAGAGTAATTTTAATTTTTTTTATAAATTCATAGTGGCTTCGTAAATAATAGTCAACATCTTCACCACTCCCTGGTATAGATATGAAAATCCTACTTCTATCCTGCATTATGTGTATACTTACATCGTTCACAATTTCAATGATATCTCCAACTTCTAATGAAATTTCATCAGCATTATCCGCTTGGTACGGAAACAGCACTTTCATCAAACGTTTTTCTGAAATGAAAATAATAACAACAGTAAGGTGCAATGTTACAGAAAGTAGGGCGTTCCAGAAGTGTATGTACCAATATGGAGGTAACTAATTTTGTTCGCCTACTTTACATCAAGTTGAGGTACTGAAACTTATGGACCGGGGTATATTCACTTGGCAAACACAGACAGTCCCTGAACTCGTAATAGAACTGAAATAAAATCAGAATGAAATAATGGCCCAACCTGGTACACACACTATGAGAGTATCGAAAGTGGTGACAAAAAGTATGGCAAAGAAGATAACAAAATTTGTCTTTGAATGAGTTAATTTTATTCTCAAGTTTGAAATCAGCATTACTAAATGACGATGTTCCAAAAATATTTCAAAAATTGGGAACTTTTATTGAAACAAGTCAAACAAAAGCGATACAGCAAATGTGGCAAAACTTCTCTAAATTTTGAATCAAACTATTTTGTATTTTACACTTTAAACATGAACACTGTGATATGAAGCAGGGGTGGACCAGGGACCAAATATTTTGCCCAAGCAGACTGGCGAGTGGCGAGCCATGTAAGTGTGACGTAAAAAACTACATTTTATGAACAATATTATGGTGTTACAAGAGCAGAAGTGGAAAACAATAAGCCTAGTGTCAAAACTAAACTTAATCGCAATCTCAACGAATTCCTTGAGCTGTTTTTTAGCTGAAACATCAAAATTTGATTTTAGTTAGGTTGTGGCAGCATCAGGAGGGCAAGATTGAATTACCCAACGGACCAGATTTGGCCCGTGGGCCGTAATTTACCCATGTCATTTAAAATGGCTGGAAAATCATTCAAGTTTTGAATTCGACTTGAATCCTTTTTTGTTCTATAATTCATTCAATTCAATCCCACGAATACAACTTTACTATTAATAAATGCAAAGATGAAATTGATTCAGAAATTCACTTTAAATATATATAAAAGCTTGGAAAACATTCAAAGTCCTACTCTTTGGGACTAAAATATGGAAAATTGGAATAAAATTGATAAATTATGCCCCAATACTAAACTGGTACACATACTACAGGAGTACCATTTGCAATTTAAAATAAATTGTGAAACCAGGTTCAAACCCATATTAAAGCACATTTGAAGTTTTACTCATTGGTCATAGGGTACAAATGACCAGTATTTACTTAGCAAACTGAAGGATAAATGGATGGACGCTTAATAACGGGTTCAATCTACGTCATTCTGGGCACACCCATTCATAAAGTTTTATGAATAATAACACAACCGGCCAAGTGTGGGCCACATCTAATTTACCCCTTTTATGACTGGCCCAAGCTTGATCACAGATTGGATAAAATCTCCAAATTTCTACAAAGTAAACTATTAATGTTGATATTTTGACATGCTCGGTTGAGCGTGAAGAATGTTTGTTTGGTAAAATATTTTAAAGGAAATAGGATTCGAAATGAATGTATTACTACAATATTATATTTATCAACTTGAACAATATTGAAAAAGGCTACAATTCAATGAGAAGGGATAAAAAAGTTATTCGTGATACTACTGCAAATCATGTCTATAAGACTTTGATCTTTGCATGCCAACTTATTCCCTGTTCTTCCTAGTTTCATTGCTTGATAAGGATATTTCACAGGGTGTTTTCACTTTGTTTGGCATAAATTGTTTGAACACAATGAGATTTGGAATCTACCAATCAAAGTAACACTATAAATAACAACTTTCATTTTCTATGTTTTGAATTTGAATCTGTTCATATAATCACATGATAGTTTATAGAACAAATACTAAGTAAACAAATTCACTATTTTTATTAATGGCGTATGTCAGTGGTTCCCAACCTGGAATGATAAAACAGTGGGGTCATGATCATGAGTGATAAAAGGTTGAGAACCATCGATATATACCATCGATAAAATTGTAAATTTGTTTATTAACTTAGTATTTGTTCTATAAACTATCATGTGATTATATTCATTTAATTAAACGTCAGATTTAACATGAAAAGACTTTTGTTAAAACCAGTTTAAGTCTTAGAAACTCTTGAAATGTTCCGGTTGATTACCCACCAATGAAATTAGAAACCGCTTGAAAGAAATTGTCCAGGGTTTATACCAACAATAAGTATTTTTTAAATAAATATTTCAAATATTGTTTTAGACCACTAGAAGAAATTTATATTCCACAAGTTTTTTTTCAAAGGTTTCGTAGATTATTCCGTTCCGCCCACACCTGACGCTTATACAGGCATTAGGAAAAAAAAAATTTGCAAAAATCATTTTATTATATAATATATATATATAACCCATAGAACAGGGGTTCTCAAACTTTTGGTGTTATGAAGCCTGCGAAGTGGTTGACTATTACTTCGGAAGCGAAAATAAATTTATAAAATAAAAACAAAAAACAAAACAAAAAAATGTTTGTGTATAGGAAGAAAAAACAAACAGAATTAAAATACTAAACCTTTCTTATTAATAGGGTTAATACAAGATAGAGGTAAATTCAAATTTCACAGACAAAATTATATTAACGCTGTAAATATGACACTTGACAAACATGATAAAGTAGCATCAAAATGTGCAATAATGTTGTAATTCAAATATGGCATCTCAAATATGGCATCTCTTAGAACTTATGGATAATGACATACCGGTATTTGAATTACCTCTATTTTGACGCTACTTTGTCAATTTTATTAATGCCATCATTGCTTCTTTAGACAGTTACAAAACTAGTTAAGATAGTATTTTAATAAGTAAACGAATAGCTCGCAAACCCTAAGTGTCTCTCACAGAGCACTGGAGCTTAGTATTGAATTATATCAGAAAATTAGTAGTGAGGCAAAACAGAAAAGTACCCATGTAGTCCTGTAAGGTTATCGGCTTATCGCTCCATCTTTCTATGTTGAAGTAAACATTAGTGATGACACAATACCAGAATAGTCCTAACTAATTCTAGCCTAAGATAAGCATAATAAAATAAAAGATCAAAGAATTAGTGATGAAGCCATAACAGAATAGTGCCCTATCTAACTGGTGACCGTACATTTGAACACACGTACATTTGAATCCATGTGTATATCCGCGGTTTCAATCTATATGCGGGTGCTAAAACCCATGGGTTTGGTTAGGGTTAGTATGGGTTCAAATATCCGTAAAACAAAAAAAATTTCCATAGGTGCCATAGTATGCAGGTGCAATTGTCGTGGGTTCAAATGTAATGGAACCTATCTAACTATAATTAGTGGTGACGCCACTTCTATAACGCGGGCCACACTAACACTAAACTTCATACTGAAATGGGGGCCACAAACTATCGTCTAGCGGGCTGTAAATGACCCCTGGGCCGCAATTTGAGAGCCCTGCTGACTGCTGTACAGTATCTCAATAATATGTCGAAATGTTAGCGATAGGCAGACATCAGAAGAGTACCCAACAAACTAAATACATATGAAAACCTATTAATAAAGACAAGAAAAACCTTATCAATGCAACAGCGCAAACATAGCTTGCTAGCATTTCAGTTAATATTTTATTACACAGACAAACAAACTAAGATACTACCTTACTAGCCTACTGTATTAATTATATAAAGCCAATACAAACATCACAGGAGAACACATAACATCATAAAAAAAACATCATAAAAAAAACTTTTATTCACAGTATATGGTTCAAAAATATAGAATGACTTAAAAACAAAACCCAGATCAGTTAAAAATATTCTAGAGAGAACGTAACTTATCTGCAAAGTGTCCTAAATTAATGAAACTTGACGGGGCGCAGCCAGAAATTTACAAGTAGGGGGGGGGATTCTAAAATTTCTATTGGCCAAGTTAGATCGAAACAGCTAGCAGGTCCGGCCGAACGTCGGAAAACGTGTGTTTTCATGAGTCTTAAGGGAGTAAAAAGCGTTTCAAACTACGAAAAATTTCTATGTATGATACAGAAAGATGCTTTTATTTTTTCTAAAGGGGGGGGTTTCGACCCATAAAACCACCCTCCTGGCTACCGCCCTGCAGTTTGACACAAAAACTATTCTCAACAAGGATGTCAAGAACGAATCAAATATTCGAACATAAGGATGGCCAAAATATAAAATACAATTTCAAATGCTCTTATACATAAGCTACCTTCTTTTATGATTCAAGAATCTTGCTGCACACTAACACAAATATATTTCTGTAAAGTTTCGTCTGACCAAGGTCAGGCTTCTTCAGACATGCATAGTTCAACTAGAAGCATACAGATCTGCCGGCACAAAAGCATAGAAGAAGGATAAGTAGTTAGTCCCGCAGAAACCAATTCAATATCTCCTTTTATATGGCACTTATTCATGCCTTTGATAATTTTCAATTGGGAATATAAAAATATGAGGCGCTCCCTAAGTATGTGAACTAGGGATGGGCCGGGATTCGGATCCGGACTCGGATTCGAGTCGAATCCAGGCATTTTTTGGACTCGGATTCGATTTCGAGTCCACGTCGTTTTTACCGAGTCTATAATCAATTCTGTTTTCACTAATTTACGCCTATGTTTGTACTTTTACCCCTATAAATCTCACTACATACCTTAACTAGTTAAATTCAAGGTTAGATATCGTCACGCTAATAATCGAATTGCGTAAGTCATTTCTGGCGGTTTTGAGTTTTTTATAAAACAGGTATTTATGTAATGCTGCGCACCTGTCTGTTAACTCAGATTTTATTTTAAGAATTCCGAAACCCATAAAAATAGAGATTTTGTATAATATGCAAATTTGTTCAATTGTTTCGTCATAATGAATTATCACTGTTAACGCAGAACTATTGTGACGTCACAAAGGCAAAATAACCTCGGCCAAGGATTTTCGAGTTTTTGCATCTCAGATTCTAGCTTAGCGGTTATAAATTTCAATTTATACTACAGTATAGGGAGGCGTGCACTTGTGATATTTACTGTCTGAGTCCAATTCACCTTGGTTGGCTTTAATATAAGGGTACATCGCTGTTTTATTCTTCATATTTAACTTTAGTCTTATTTCGGTGGATGTGCAGAGCGTGTTGTATTGATGAAATATATATTTTAAACATAAAAAATAATGTAATTGGAACAGATTAGCTATTTTGGGGATTAGACTTCGTATATACTAAGAATTACATTCGTTTTTGGATTGTTTGGTTTTCAGGACTGGTACATATAGTCAAGTTGCAAAATTGCGTATGTCCCCTAGTCATAGACACATTTCTGCCTAAGTCACAGTGCGTCATTATGACGTCACATGACTGCGTCATACAAATTAACTTAAATTCGGCTACGATCAAAAAATTCAACCATGGCAAATTATTGACTCTCAATGGCATAGCAATTTCATTAGGAAGTTTTTTACGTTTTTCTCAAAACTGCTGAAAATGACTTACGCAATTCGGTTATTAACGTGACGATATGTAACAATATCACCCGTGTGTATTATAACACTCCTAATAAAAACGACGACAGATATCCAGATAATATACCGCAAGGTAAAAACTATTGATAGCTTATAACAATGATGCGCCAGTCGCCTTCAAACTATCTATCGTTTTTGGTATACATGTGGTACACAATAAAATATGTGTCAGCGCAATATTTTTGAGTTTTCGATTTGCGTAAATAAATATGAAACATGCGCTCGTTCAACCCGAGAGGAAATCTCACCAATACCTCTTTTAAATCGAGTTTATTACGTGCAATCCTTTCTCTAAAAAGGGAGCAATGGAAAGCATGGAGCGTTTCAGAACGTTTACATGAACTACTAAATTGCAAGCATTGTATTGACGACGAGTGGCATCTCTCTACCATTTGCACACGCGGCATAGTAAATTTAAGGCTAGAAATATCTGAAATTATGGGAAAGCATTGTAGTCAAAAGCTTTTTATTTTCCTATTTGACATGTAAGAATTTCTAAATAGCCGCCCAGAATTGACGCAAGGTGGTGGGCTGGAAATCCAGTTCACAGCCAAGGCGCACATTGACCCACGTTTACGTTTGTATTATGGCCGCCAAAAAAGACGAAAAATATATTTTTATATTGATTCAACAGCTATCTGCGGAACCATTAGGCAAAAATATGAGCTACGACGTATGTTTGTGAGCGCGCGATGCCGTAGTATGGTCGAAAACGTGTTTTTCTACTTTTACATTGTGACGTCACGGACTCGGAGGATTCGATTCGAGTCCCTGACCTATTACTCGGATTCGTCGAATCTCTGTAATGCCGGACTCGTCCCATCCCTAATGTGAACCATAATGACGGTCAACCTGAACAACCCTAATCTGGTACATATACTATGTTCAGGATGTGTGCCATCTTGGTTCACATACTTCTGGAGCTCCAAATATGATTATGCAAATGTTCAACAAAGAACGAAAAAATTATTTTTCAAACGCAAATATTCCAAATTATTTCAAAAATTAAGGGCTGAATATATCCCGAATGAATTTGAATATTTGATTCAGTTATGAATCCCTATTTTATAACTCCCTCTCTGTTTGAACAGATTGCTGTTTGAACAGATAATAAATCAAGTCAAGAACATTAATTTAAAGTAGAAATATCAAGATAAACCTTGTTTAAAATGATTTCTAGTTCTATTTCACAGAATTATATTTTTCCAAATATTCTGAATTTGGATGCTGATTTAGCGTGCAGTCTACCACTATAATATGCGATCAAAGTCCACCCTGTCCTTCTGGTGAGATATTAGTTTTCACTACAGTGTGGTAAATCTTACAGTAATGCAGACATTGATCCATGTCAGGTAATAACTAGGGCTGGGCATCTTCGAATACCTGATAACTTCAGAATCTACCGGTAATCGAATATTTTTCTTGAATCGAATCGAATCTCGAATACATGAGATATGTAATTTTATGCGACTTTTTTGTTGTAATTGGTCCTGTCAACGCATGAATTACTGAAAACATAGAATACGTCACTCAGACAGATGAGCGTTCACACTCAACACATTTTTATCAATAAAACACTACAGAAAATAGTCATAAATTATGTCAGAATTGTGTTGAAAAAATATAGCTTCAATAAAAAAAAATTGGGAAATTCACCTCGACCATTGGAGAAAAGGAAAAAACAAGATGCGGCAATTCGGAAGCTTTTTCGCTAAACCGATTCAAATAATTTACATTTCTATTCGAAATTCCCAGCCCTAGTATGACCAACTATTTTCAAGCATATTTTAATACTCCATTTTGGGCCTCCCAGCAAACCTGCCAATTTCAGTATTCAAAAAAAATTGATTTAATTTTTATGTTGTGATGTTTTAATTGCTTTTTACAGGCATCATAAATGGACCAGGCTGCACTCATAATTTCCAATTTTCACGGTTTTCAACCCTAATCACATTTTCCCATAGAAACAATCGGTTTACAAACTTTCAATTATGATGACATAATTTCATACATTGTTATCTAACAAATGACCTCAGGCAAAATATGACACAATGTAATCCAAGATATTCCTAAAACCGGTAAAACTGAGGCTTGAGATTGCTGAGAACCTTCCATGAATGAAGAAGAGTAGATTATCCATATTCAAACCATTCAATCACACAAAATAACTTTGTTTTTTTCACTAATTTTCCAATAATAAAATGAACCAATATGTCAGAACTAAAAAAGGTTAATTTCTGGTATCTTGTATTTAAAGGAATGAACAAGAACATTGTCATGACCACAGATATCAAAGAAAAATCATGTTAATAAAAAAGAATCTATGGTAATTCAAGGGTAAATTGGTTGTATGGACATTGGCATTGTATTATTATATATCATAAACTACCACAAGCCTTGACAATTGTAAAGATCACAGCTAAAACCCCAAGCAGATCACCTCACGCAGAGCACTTTAGTAAATTAAGTAGGCAAATAAATCAAAACTTAGGGTCAATATACGGTAACAATGAATGAACAATCAATGTTTGCATGTGTATGGTGGCCAGGAAATTGATTTTTCTTAATGTTAATTAAATTTATATTTGCTGATTTAAGCCTTGGTGCAGTGACTTTGTACACTTTTTAGATCATGAATTTTTCACAAAACACCAAATAAAAATTTGTCGATTTTGTGGAAACTATCTTATTAAGAACTGATTAAAATCAAAATTGCAACGTTTTCTTTAACACTTTGCTGTTTAGCCATTGTTTTGGGAGAAAAAATGGAAGTCCATTCCAAGGAAAACATTTATCACACGCAACAGAATCTTCAAAAAAATTGAATACACGATTGGTGGATTAGGACTTCCCTTTGTTATCATAAAATATGCCAAAATACAAAAATAAATTTTAAAACAACAACTGAACTCGCAACACCAGAAGGTCTCTCACAGAACATTAATGTTCCGCAAAACGCCAAGTTGAGAATCACTGACTTGGGGTGTAACGAATTGAGCGTGCAACGCCAAACCAGAAAGATTCAGATTCTGATTTATATCCATGGAAGTCCAAAATCAATTTCAAGTTAGAAACCGACAACATCAAAGTATTTAACTAATACAATATAGGACCTTATAAACATAAAAAACTGTAGGCTTTGTATGTATATCATGTATATGTTATGTTTCTATATAACCTGCTTCCATTGCCACTTCAAAGTAAAATAATACAACTTATTTGGATACAAAAATCACAATAAACACTGAAGTGCAACGAGACAGATTCGCAACCGGTATTCTATGCGACACCAACCTATGTTAAACAATACAATCAAATTTTTATGACAGCTCATCAAATTTATAATGGTATGTTTGAACAATCATACTACAGTAGGAACATTGGTATAGCTAACATGGCAGATTGCAATTCACTATTTTGCATGTTTTTGGTGTTTTTTTACGGTTTTCACTGTTTTTGCAGGGTTTTTGGTGATTTTTGGTGTTTTTTTCAGCTTGTTGATATTTGTTCAGAAACAGATATAAATATCAAGGTCAAGTATTACCATAAAATAAGCAAAATGAGACTGAATGAATCTGTAGCATGATGAATCAAGCATAACGACAATTTTTAGTCAGACCAAACAATATATGTGACGGAAATATTACATTTCTGCATTAAATCAATGAAATGTTGGTAATGTACAGAAGCCTAGTAAGTCATATTGAAACATTCGCCTTGGTATCCAAATCAAATATCACAGAATCAAGAAATTGAAACAACTTACTTTTTATACTTGCCGGTTTCTTTTCTTCTTCTTCAAATATCTAAATGCAAAAAAGAAATTACAGCAATGAAAGCATACCGTGTTTCCCCGAAAATAAGACCTGGCCTGAATTTCAAAAATGTTTCTAATACAAGTCCCTGTCTCCTCTTAAAATAAGACCTTTTTTTTTAAAGAAAAGCGTGATATCAATAAGTTAATGGAGATCGGTTTTCATATTTTGCATATTTGAAAATCTTGTAATCTTGTAATTTTGTTTTTGATGAATGAAAATAAAAGACTTAGTGTTATTTTTCGAAAGAAAATTGAAATAGGACCTTGTCTTTTTTTCGAGAAAACAGGGTAAAGACGAAATACAATGCACACAGTGCACCAGTCTTTATGTGATATCTTCAATAGCTATTGGCATCTGAGAGGTTACTTGTATGGTGCCGCGGATGGGGAAATAAGGAATGAATAGTAGCAGTATATGATGAATTCCTATTCGAATATTTGATACTAACCGTCACAAAATTATCAGGGAACATCCCCCTTTTGCCGTTCAATAATCCCTTGCACCACCCAGTGTCTGCAGGTTCAACTTCTGAGATTATCTCTCCGATGCTGAGAGCCAACTCATCTTCTTCTTGGGGTTGATAATCAAACGTTACTTTGGCCTTTTTCACTGAAACAAAATCGAAAAGAGATTTGAGAATTGAATGTCTATGTCAGGAGTGTGCAACATGTGGTCTGCGGGCAAATGCGGCCCACAAGGAAAAATTGTGCGTTCCGCGTAGAAGTACCAATTTTAAATGGTGTGTCCGCAAAACAACTTTTTAATTTGGATTTTTCCAGCATGTGCAAATAATTCCCATCCATTTGCGCTACATGAGCTGATGGAAAGCGAACAATGCATGATCAATTCCTGGCAGCACTGACTGCTCACTTTATTCTAATCCTATTGTTACACGCATCACTGATTTTGTATATGTTTCTGAAAAATTGCAGTAATAATTTTGTTTACCGAGGAATATTAGTCAATTTAACATGTTGGGCCATATGTATTCATATTTCAATCTCACTTTTTAAAGCAATTCATAAAAACTTTTAGATTTTTCTAAATGATAGTTTTCAACAGTACGAGATAACACTATTTAGGCGATGTAGAAGTTCAACTATTTTGTTATATTGTTGTTGGTATAGAAAGAAAATTTTTTTCTCCAAAACTTGTGAGACAATGGATATCAAATCTTCAGTACTTGAAAACAAAAAAAGGCACTAAAAAATTATTTTTCACTTTTTTCTAGTCTTCTATAACACAAATTTTCATTTCAAATTTAAACGTTTTTCCACCTTCATATGACACCTGGGCATTGTTCTTTTTCTTGTTTTAGTATAGCAGTAATGTTGGTACTCCTGTAGTGTGTGTACTAGACTAGGTTATGGTTGCGCCAAAATATTATTCAGATTTTCCTTATTTTAGTTCTATCACAAGTTCAGGGACTGTCTGTGTTACCCAAGTGAACACACCTCCTGCCCATAGGTTTCAGTCCCTTTACACAACTTGATGTAAAGTAGGCGAACAAAATTAGTTACCTCCATATTCATACAAACATCTGGAGTGCCCAAATTTATATATGACTTTGCATATCATTCTTTTGCCATTTAGCTGTAATTTTGCTAACATATCGGCGGCCGTGTTTATCCTTTGATTTGACCTACGTATATAACTGATATGGGCAAACCTCGCCCCACGGGCCAATCTAATTCAATATGGCCCTCCTGATGCTGCCACAACCAAACTAAAACCAAATTTTGATGTTTTAGCTAAAAAATAGCTTTATAAAATTCATTGCAATTGTGATTAAATTGAGTTTTAGCACAAGGCTTATTGTTATCCACTTTTGCTTTGTAAATAAAAAATTTCAACACTGTAAATAATATTGTTCACAAAATGTCACATTTACATGGTCCGCCAGTCCAAGTGGGCAAAATTTTTGGCCCTAGTCCATATCCATATATTTGAGCATTGCTATTATAAATTTGAAAAAATACAGAAATAAGTCAAAAACAAACAATCATTAAAGAGACAACAGAACATATAAAAATACGACTTACTCTCTGGCTTTTAGTCAATAGTGCATATTAATCCCAATCCAATGTCTTTATTAGCTAGAAAAATGACAGAACACTTGAGGCATCTATTAACAGGAAAGTATAAATTCCCAAATTCTGCTGAACCCGTTAATACAGTCCGCAGTCCTAATTGAAGCTATTCCAATATGGTATCACAATGTGTAATATATCCAGATGAAAGACCGAAAGCAATCAGCAGGCACTTGCCAGTATTGAGCCTGGTCTTTTGTTTCAACTCCTAGGCCAATACAGTTACCTATGAAATTGTTCACAATAAAAAAAAATATTTAAATTTTACAGTATACTGAAAGACTGGAACTGTCTATTGTATATTCTACAATTTACTGACTTAGTCTACATTACAGACAGACAGGCAGAAAATTCAATTTTTGAAAATAACCATTTTCAAATGAAACTATATTAATTGAATTAATCATAAACCAAGGGTTCATAAATCAAATAGGACTAATTCAATATCTAAAAACTGGAACAGCCCTGTCTGCCTGTGTGCAGGTGCAACGGTCTGAAGGCAACTATTCTAATTCTGGGCTATGCAATCAGTAGTTTATTTTTTCCCCATACTAAAAGCACTCTTGATATACAAATTGCAACAACCAATTAAAAAGCATTTCGAGGTGAGGAGAGCCGCGAGAAACCAAATTCGGTTATCGAGCAGCGGTACCCATAACTGCATAAGCAAGTCGGGTCTCGTGTAGTTTCGTACCTAACGTACTTCTAGTGGGCGTAGCATGACAATTTTTTGATATGTCAATCCTAACCCCCATCTGACTACGCCATCCAAAAATTACCTCACTACGACATCACAATCACGTCATAGAGCTTGCCAAATATACGTACAATCGCCCGAAATGGCATTGGCGCCGACGATAAAGAACTGACTGACGTTATCGATCTCTCTCCTATTGGAATCGTTGCAAGGAGAAAACGAGAGAAATAACTGTTCGATTTCGGGTGCTCGTTTGCACGTCTTGGATGGCAGTTCGTATAGTTTGAAGGGCTCTATTACGCCACTGTGACGTCGTGTTGACGTCATTTTTGGATGGTGTAGTCAGGTGGGGGTTAGGATTGATACGTGGATAAATTGTCATGCTACGCCCACTAGAAGTATGTTAGGTACGAAACTACATGAGACCCAGCAAGTCTAACAAGAAAATAATAACAAGAAGTCGAACTGTATATAGCTTTATATATATATATATACAGTATCATATATGTGAAAAAAAAACAATAAATACGTCAAGGCATGCCAACCTGGTATGCCCAGGAATCTTGCGTTTCAACAACAACAAACATATATATATATACAGATATATATCAGTCAGTCAGTATATGTCAGGGATATGGACATGCAGGAATGTTGCAATTTATAAATTTATGAACACACAAATTTATCAAAAATTCGTTTTAGTATTAGTCGGTATATGCTAACTATTAATAGCATACTAAAATATAAATAAGAATATCGACAGCTGGTGCACTAATTTCCTGACAAAAAGCAACGGAATACCGAAAATCTAAAATGCAGCCCAACAGCGCTGGAGGGAATTTTTGATTAATAATACCAGAACTGTGGGCGTTTCATGAAATGTTGTGATTGGAGTCTTCTTGTTTTGGGGGAAACTTCAAGGGGAAAATTTTTGAATAATTAACAAAATTTTAAAGAGGATATGATAAGACATATATAAATATTCATTCTGGAGGAGAGGAAAGCCGATAAGGCGGCTCAATCATGAGACGAACCACGGCCTCTCGCCTAGTTACCAGTAAATGCGCGTATGGGATTAGTGAGCCGGTTCTCAGCGGTGTGGCGCATTAGGCACACCGCTGATACCTTGTGGGCACCGCAACGCTGATAACCTTGTGGGCAAATGAGTCAGCATTTACAATCTTAAACAATACTAATTATCTAATAATCATTAGCCGGCCGAGGAAGTGCGCGTTGAAGGAAGCCGGATTAAGTTTCCTGGAAAGACCGGATCCAAATAATTTTCAAGTTTTGTATGCGGATCTTCGATAAAAATAGTTGAGTAGCCCTGATCTAGTCCATAGATTTGAAACAAATACCTGGTTAACTTTACCCGACATGGCAAAATCCACAAAATAATAAATGTCATTGATAGTTAATTTCAACTTAACCTGTTATATGAGTTTTTTTTTCATTTGCCTGAATGCGGTTGACATGTGATTTAGCCTTCAAGAAATCATACAGAGTAACATGCTCCTTTTTCGAATGGAGATAAATGTCGAGTTTAATAACGACTGTTGCTTGAAAATAGCGTTCACACCAACATTTCCTGAATAATCCTTTGCGAAGCATGAGTTCGCTGGGGATGCACTCATTTACAGACAAGCCACGATTTTTTTTTTATCTCTTTGACCCATTTGCCACGACTCGGTGCGTGAACCGTATTCTATGTTTAACAACGTCGTTTCTGATGATCTCAATCTTATCCTTACACGATATTTTAATCTCTGTGTATTGTGTAATTCGATAGGTTGATAATTAAATTTTATCTCTTAGCCAAGTCCGATCTCCTGACTTTGTTTGCATTCCCAAGGTTCATTTGTGTATTATCACAATACTTAGAAGCTCCCAAGCGAGAAGTCCTAATAGAGAATACTTTTTTTTTTCAATTATTGGACACGTAGTGGACATAGCGATCGTTTTGTTGGTATGTTGTTCTTGTTCTTGTTGTTGTTCTTTGACACGTTTTGAAGAAATCGCTTTTCTCTTTGATTTCTGGACCAATTACTTTGAAATTTTCAGTGGTTAAAGATAAAGTTTTTATTCAGAAAGCTATTACTTTTTTTTGCTATGACGTCATCAATTTATGTGGTCTACGTGTCCATATATTTGAGCATAGCTCTCTTGTATTAAATATATTATACGCCACAAAACAAAATTGCCCTTGTGGTACTTTTATATCGTTTATTCAAATCTTATTTAAAGTTTCGACGACTTTCCGAGTTTCCGCTTTGTGAGTTTTTCTTTGTGACATATCGGAATAAATTATACCAGGGTGGGCGCTAGAAAAATAGAAAATTTGTCAAACAACTATTTATTTTAACGAAGAATAACTTTTACAAAGTTGTTTAATGGTATATATTATATTACACATTTACACTCATAGGTGCTCAAAATGTCGTCCGCGCATTTCAGAGTAGTGTCCTAAAAAGGTTCAAGCTCGTGTAGCGTATTGACGTATAGCGTGTTCAACCTGTTGGATGGTGCTCCTGAAGTATACGCACCAAGATGTCGCATAACCTGAACCCTAACCTGGTACACAGCCTGAGTTCAGGTTGTGCGCCATCTTGGTGCGCATACTTCAGGAGGTCCGTTGGATATCGTTTCAATTTCACCTATATGCATTTTATTCGTTATCTAATCTGACATTCAAATATTCTGCTTTTCTAGCGACCACACTGTATTCATACCTATTTCAATCGTAGTTGGTCGATAACCGCCTTTTCAAGTCGTTAAAACAAGAGTAGAACCCATTATATTTCATTCATGCTACTCGGAGGGAACTGTCCCTTCTGAAGTCCGACTGTATGCACGTCAATTTTAGGGGAACGTAACCAGCGTTCATATTAAGATCTGGGGATGAATTAGTTAATCTAATACCATGGATGTCTTTATACTCCGAGAATATCGCTCCGTTTGGGGACGGTAAATTTGACTTTACGTCGAAATGAATAGCAAAATTATTGTCGAAAATTGAACAATTTGACTCAACGCCAGGCTCAATGATGTAGTCCAATGGTTTACAACCTTTTCGGTACAGCGGACCCCAATGTAACAGTTCAGATGCTCGAGAAACAATAGTTTAATTGTGTTTCATTGTCTGAATTGCATAAACTGTAAATGTTACAAATCCAATACTGTCAAAACAAAATGATATTGAAAGTGTAGAATATTTGGCGCACCAGAAGTATGTGTACCAATTTGGAGGTAACTAATTTTGCTCGCTTACTTTACATCAAGTAGTGCAGGGGTGGCCAACACGTCGATCGCGATCGACCGGTCGATCTTCACGTTTCGAGTGGTCGATCGCGTCTATTGTTGGTAAATTTATAACCCCAAAATTTCCTGAAGCAATTTCATGCAGCGCCTGTTGTGTGTTTTAAAACAGAACGAATACAGTACTGTACATGTGCAAAAATAGACATACAGTGTTTGAGTCTGGACAAGCCCCATTTACATGTTATTACGTAAAAATGCAAGTTTCACCGCTACCAAGTTTAAATTGAACTTGCCGAATATTGTGTGTTTTAGTTGACAAATGTGCAGTGAGTTAAATTATTGTAAATTAGATGCTGAAAATCGAGCAGTAGTGTTTCATTGATTGTTTTCGAAAAATTTTCTCTATTTGTATAGTACGCTAATACTTGGTAAGGTTTTTTGAGAAATTTACGACACTCGGGGCTAAAAATAGGCATGTGTTAGGTCTGAATTGTATGATTTGAATAAATGAATGATGAAACATTTACTCCGGCTACTATTACATAATCAAATCAAAAAATTAAATGGAAGATAAATAATACAAATTTTTGTGGCGTTTTAATTGAGAATGTGCCTGCAGAGCAGAGCTTATTGGCAGTGCTGTATGTTTTTGTATGCGTGTTTGCAATTATCTATGCATAATCAGTACCCATTCGTTTTTGTATATGACCTTATTACCAATCAGTCGATCGCGAGCTATTTTGAAGATTTTAGTCGATCGCGGACGAAAGCAGGTTGGCCACCCCTGAAGTAGTGTAAAGGCATTGAAACCTATAGGCATGGTGTATATTCAATTGGCTAACACAGACAGCCCCCGAACGGCGAACTCGCAATACAACTAAAATAAGGAAAATCGGAATAAAATTGTGCAGTAACCCTAACCTGGTACTAGCGGCAGATCAACAGATATTTAGGCTTAGTCGAACAATATACGTGTTCTAATATAGTCTTAGATTTGAATGGAAACTTGCGGAACTGTATCGGCTGAACTTCAGTGTTCATAAATTCGGGCATTGAAAAGTAGGATTTCTAAATTTTTCCCAGGGGTGAGTGAAGACGATAATACGGCTTAATCGTACGGCGAACCGCGACCTCTCGTCCGGTTGCCAGTCCATGTCGTGTATTGTCGTGTTGTGAGTGGAAGTGGTGACTCCTCTACGACCCATGGGCCTGGGCCACGGCTAATCGAATTGGGCCTCGGCTCATCAGGCTATGGACCGCGGCCCAT